AATATCGTTATAGATTTCTTTTTTATTATATTATACAAACGCATATTAACGTAATACAATATACAGAATTAACGTACGCATTCTACTTTAACAAAAAGTAATTTAAAAAATACACATAATAGTTAAACGCCCTCAGGGCATACTCAACGGTAACCAGAGCAACCATAGGATCTGTAACCGACAAAGAAAAGGAGACCAATAACAATAAATCAAGCTGGGTCTGACACAAAAGTCACTACAGATTCCGAAGTAGTCGCCATTTTGTTCTGAAGTCGATATCATTAGCAGGGAACAGGGTGACATGTGATATTTGTTTTGTTTTCTTTGACTTGCGGGGTTTTTTTGTCCTCTATCTTGAACTGAACTTACGCTGTCTCTCTGTATCTCCCCCAGTCTCTCTCTCTCTCGCTCTCTCTCTCTCTCTCTCTCTCTCTCTCTCTCTCTCTCTCTCTCTTTCTCTTTTAGATTCATGATGTCCCTAGTGTAGTTGCCAGGGGCTTAAATCGATTATATCTTTCTTAAATGGCTCAAAACCAAGGAAACTTATCTGACACATAAAAGTATGTATGTCTTTCTGCTTGTCTGTCTGTCTGTCTGTCTGTCTGTCTGTCTGTCTGTCTGTCTGTCTGTCTGTCTCACTTTCACTTTTTTTTTCTCTCTCCCTCTCTCTTTCTCTCCCTCTCTCTATCTATCTCTCTCTCTCTCTGTAGTTTTTTGCTCTTTAGGATCCGTTAGATAAGGCAGCATCAACGCGAATCAAGACTCCAACTGAATAGAATCTTTTGATAATTCTATACCTGTCTGATACACACAGTTTGTAAAATAAAAATAAAAGCAAATAGTCTAGCCACTATTTACTTATGGGAGCATAATGAAAAAAAAAGTTTGGATGTTTTTACATCATTACATTTCTAAATACCCGTATTTGAGTCTTCAATAGTTATATCAGCAAAAACGGAACGGTAACGAACATAAGTTTTCCCCAATTTCGGTTTTAAAAAAAACACAGCACAAAACAAGCAAACAAAAAGAAAAAACCAAACACACACACACACACACACACACACA